AAACTTAAATATACTATTTTTTATTAATATGGAGTAAGTATAAGATAAAATTTGTTCAAAGCTAAACTCTCGACCATTCGACATTGATCGCTCACACCCGAATCCTTAGGAATAACAACAATTCCTTTATTACGGATGTCACTTGATTCGTGCTTAAATTTACTATTTTCTTAAAATAAAACATATCTTATTATTACACCTAACATATATATAGGTGTAAAATATGTTTTAATTTTATTTGATAAAATATACTACTTTTTTAAAATATAACATAGGCTACTATTGCACCTAACATAAATACAAGAATAATTATGTCACAAAAATAATTTTCTAACTTCAGTTTGAAAATAAAATTCAAATTTATTAATAAAAGTTTAAAATCTTAATATTATTTAAATTTATGTTTGTTTAATTAATTTTATTCAGTGATTTAACTCTCTTTTTTATCATTTTTAGAAAAACATTTTTATATTCCTGTTATTTAACATAATATTTATTATAAAATTAAAAGTAATATATGCAACTTACTATAGGTATTTCTTTTTCTTTTTTTTGATAAGTAATATATGCAACATAATATTTATTCCTGTTATGATTCTCCAAATCGCTAACCTTTTTTTATTAATCATTGATATTTGATCTATTAGTCGACTAATCCAAGTCGGTTACTGTAGAAACAAGGGTGACTCTCCCAACCTAGTTTGTTTTATTTGCAAACTTCAAAATTCGAACCCCTGACCTTGCTTAAGAGACCTAATGCCTCATCCTACTAGATGTTGATTATTGATTGCTAACCTTTTCTATTTCATTTAGAAGTTCATAATTATGGGATACATTGTAACATCCCAAACTATGGGTTAGTGACTTAATTGTAAAGTTTCAGAATTTGGTGATTAAAGTAGAAGAATGGGTTAGTTCAATGATTTATCTGGAAATAAATTCTAAGATGTTAGTAATTTAAAGGTATTAAAGGGCAAAAGGGTCATTTGACCAAGAGATGATTAATAATGTTTATATATATGGATAAGGATGGGAGATTTTCAGAAATATCTTCTCTCTTTTCTTCTTCTTTTCTTCTCCACGTGAAAACTCAAAGCAAAGGTGAGTTCTCTAAATTCTTGATTGTTTGTTGATTTTAAGCATGAGTTTTGATCCTTAGAGGATAACTAAGCTTAAGGAAAGCTTAAGTTATCTTAAAATCAAAAGATGAAAAAGTTATAAGAGATTTAAGAAAACGAGTTTTATATGGAATGGAATAGAGGTGATAAGTTGAATTTTAAGTTGAATTTGACTTGTCATCGATGAGAATAAGAAGATAGAAGTGTTAGAATTGTATTTAGAACATATGGTAAATTAAGTATGATTCTTGAATTTCATATGAAGGATAGGATTTTGAAGTTATAGATGATTTTCATGGATATAAGTTAGTTTAAGTAATGGTAGTTGAGTTTAATGACATGGTAGGGATTTAAAATAGAAGAATTGAATGAAAAATTGATGATTTTCGAGCTTAAAATATAATTTCTGGGTAGAGGGAACCGATACCCTATGAATGGGAATCGATTCCCCCTTGAACGAAAAATTCCAGTATGTTCAGGGGGTATCGATTCCCTGGGGGGGGGTATCGATTCCCCCTAAATGAAAATATAGAATTTGATTCATTAAACCGGTTTAAGTTATTAACATAAAGTTTAAAGTTTAGGCTTCTGATAGTGTTTTGAAATGATATTTATGTAGATATTGAGCCTAAACAAGTTCCGGAATAATCAAAGGATTATAATCGAATCAAAGCAAGGCTAAGGTGAGTGCAATTTAATGGTACTTATGTTATTGAATAAACGTTGGTTTGTGATGAGCCAGTGATGGAGTTACTATGGTAAGAAGTGACTCCTAAAATGTTATTTGATTTGTGAATGATATGATGCTTATGTGTGTATGAGTACATGATTACATGTATATGTGATATGTGATATTGAACTATATGAAATTATAATATATGAGAATATGACATGAGATAGATAATATGAGTTATGTGCTCATATTAGAAAATATGTTAAGTGATATGTGAAAGTGGATTACATGTTTATGTGAATATGTGATACGATATGAGATTCATAAATATATGTTTATGAGATATATGTTTACACATACATAGGGTATGTGACAGAAAAGAAGGAACATGGGATTATAAGATCAATGATTACATGTATATGTGATACGTGACAGAAAAGAAGAGATATGTGTTTATAAGAGAAATGATATGATATAAGTTATGTGATTATATGTATGTATTAATACATCTTACTTGCATTACATGTTAGTGTGATTGTGAATAGGTAGGAAGGAAACAAATGATGATATAAGAATCTATTATAAGATATATGATATGAAATACATGGTTACACATACATGTGGTATGTGACAGAAGAGAAAGAACAAGTGATGAGAAATGTATTCATAATGATAATGCCCATGTTATGTAATATGAGAGCTAGTGGTATAGTTGGCATGCCAAGAGTCGAGGGTACCTATGTTTACGGAACATATGGACAGAATTACCTATGTCTTTCAAGACATATGGACAGTATACCTATGTTCTAAGGAATATGGACAGTTCACCTAGGTTTTTCGGAACCTATGGACAGTTGCCGAGGATCTTTATGACCTCTGGATAGTTACCGAGGATTTTTATGACCTCTGGATAGGTCCTGTGGGACATTGATCGAGCTGTGGTGACAGCATATGTGTGTACAACCTCAATGTACTCATATACCTTAAGTTCTCAATAGTGTACATGGTTAATAAGAGAGTAAAACAAGTCTAAATGTGACTTGTTATATGGAATAGATTACATGATTTACATAATGGTGTATTGCTTGGTTAATGCATGATATGGTAAAGACAAATGTTTATATAAGAGTGTTAAATTATAAAGATTAATGATAATGAATGAGAAATGTTAAATGTGTTGATAATGATATGTGCATGTGTGTACATGTTGCAGAAATTATATATATGTGCTTTTATATGATATGATTGTAATACTAATTGCTCATGCATTTGATATGAATTATAGTTGTATTATATGTTTTATATGCCTCACTAAGTCAACGACTTAGCGTGTGATTGTTTCACACGTAGGTTTCGAGGAGAGTAAAGAGTAATGCGGAGCAAGACAGGTCAGTTCTCCTTACCAAATGTCAGATCAGAAATATGTACTGTATATAGAGTGTAGTTGCATGTAGTCTAAAGATATAATTGTATGAACTCTGATATATTTTATAAAACGTTTTGAATAAGTTAAATGTTATAAAAGTTTTTAAATTACTCACTATTTTATACGAATAAATGTTTGAAAAGTCAATGTGACACTTCGGACTCGTATCCGGGTCGGATACGGGTTGGAGGTGTTACATACATGTACTCAAGTTGTCCATTATGATGAAATTTTCAATCCTAGCTAGGTTTGGCGTCCAAATATCCTACCATTTAGGGGAAATATAAAAAGGGAATTGCGTTGGTCATCGTATTATTGGTGTCTTGGTTCATTAAAGTGCATTCATATGTGATAGTCAAGGGCACTTTGATGAATAAAGTGTTAGTGTTCTACTCAAATTTGTCTATCTACCAAAAGATGTTTCATTGTTCAAACATTGCATCAACACAATTAAAATTAAACAACTAAAAACCATGGTGGATCTTTTTTCAATTCATTTGACATTAGACACTAGTTCGATTCGTTTGACATTAGACACTAGTTCGATTTGTTTGAATTCAATTCATCACACATACGATGATATATTTAAAATTTAAATTGCATATGACAACCAATATACGAGAATATGTTCCGAACGAAATAGATGAATTGTAACCGAAAGATTCTCATAAAATAACATACTAATTAAAAAAGTGAGATTAATAAGAGTTGCTAGATCCAACAGTGAAACGTAATGCAAAATAAGATCCGATTAACGAGGGAAAAACATATATAAAGTTGTATTGACCGTAGCACTCAAACTGAGGTGGGAAATAACGTGGAAATGGATCCAAATTGGTGATTAATTAAGTCCAGATATATTAATATAAGGGAAAGCCGACATTAAAGATCTGAAGGTGTAAAAAAGTGTGAATTGAAAAATGAAAGGCGAATGCGGAAACTAGGGGAAAGGTGACCCTTGGACGTTCCAAGCAGCAAAGGCTGTTTTAACATGGCTCACGGGAAGGGCAGCAGCCATGCGGCTCTCCTGTACGTGGCGCTGCTCATTTGGAATTGGACCCACGCTCTGCCATCCCTCAGTTGTGGCCCGTGTTTTCCTTAAACTATTCCGATCCAGCTGGTGTCTTGTAAGTTTCTTTCTTTTGTCAATATTATGGGAATAAATTTTAATTAAATACATTTAATTCTTTCAATTAAATCAATTATGGGAATAAAAAGGATAGGAATGTGTAGCAGAGACGTAAATGAGCAGAATCGATGAGTCGGTTTACTTCACGTTCTGTCTGTATAGTCTGGAGTATTGGTGAAGATTCATTTATAAAAGGTTTATTGTTTTCTATTTATTTATGGTATGGAATTTGTCTTCATTTATCACGTCTTGCTCATTTTATGACCACTGCAAATCAATCATGCAAACTAATGCTTTCAATATAGAATTCTGGTGATCCAAAGGAGCCAGCTGATTGGATAAAAAATCAATCTTTCGAACAATTTATCAGCAGTATACAGTTTGAGAAGAAAAAAAAATCCATCTTTCGAACCGAACGCGGCCCTTTATTTATCATATAATGTACATCATTGTCGAAAATGAAACAGGCTAAACGGAGATTTAGCTAGACTTTCTATATTTGAAGAAACATATTACCATAAACATTGAGTAAAAACAAATTTATATATATAAAAGGAAATTAGAAAAAAGGAAATTAGAAAAAAGGAATAATGCATGGGGATAAACATATATACATACATACGTACACAGACTTCGTTATTTCATACCCATACTTTTTTTTCTCTAAAAAACCAACAAAGAATCCTTGACATCATACTTCAGCTTCTCCAAATTAGGTTGCACTGCAAACTGAATCATGGGCGGCGGCCCACAAGCCAACGCAAGAGTGTCGTTCGAGCCCTCCGGTATATGCTCCCTCAAGATGCTTTCGGTGATGAAACCCAAGGTGTATTCCCATCCTTCCCTTACAGATTCTTGGACCACGTACCACACTTTCAATCGATCGTGCTTCTTTGCCCAACCGTCGAGCTCGTCTTTCAGCAAAATATCATCCTCGGTTCGGTTCGCGTACACCACGTACATCTCCGTCTCGTCCTCGGGGTCCTTCAAGATGGCTTGGATGACTTGATAAATTGGGGTGATCCCTGTCCCACCGGCCAGCATTGCCAGCATTTTGGCAAACTTTGGTTTGCCGTGGACCGTGAAATTCCCTCTACCTGTATATTCAATGTGACCTAAAGGACCCTTTACGTCTAAAAATGACCCTACTGGCAGTGAGTCTAAGTACTGTGACATCAGTCCTCCATTGGGGAATTTGGGGTGCACCCCTTTGAAATAAACCTTGACTACTAGATCAAAGTGGCCTACTTCATCGATGTTGCTTGTTGGGGTATATGCCCTCATGCAGAGCTTATCGTCGATCGTGGCACACAAAAATATGTGCTTACCGACGGGTAATCCCAGCAGTTGATCTTCCGATGGTAATGCAAATCTAAACAAGCGAACGTCGTGTGAGATTGATTTTTTTTCGACGAGTTTGCATGGGATTTTCTCTCGTGGAACTAAGGCCACGGGTCTTGTCGGCACAACTTCTTTAATTGGAGCTAAAAAGCTCATCATGTTCGATGCCCCGTGCACGGAAGTATTCGGCGATGATGTCGATGAATCGGAACCATATCCCATCGTGAGCAACTCTCCGATCCGAAAATCTTCCAGTAGTTTCTTGGCTTTATCAGAGTGAATTGCGTCGAATTCTTCAGTGCAATCAGTTCCAGCGTTGATCAAAATACTATCGGCGCCACCGGGGTGATCTTTGAGGAATCGAGTGCAGTCGTAGATGTGACCGTGAACGACGATCCAAGCCGAATCGGCGGAGTTGTGTCTCTTAACTTCCGACATTGAAAATGTTTTGGAGGCAGTGTTCATGAAGGGAGATGAAAGACTCTTCTTTAAAGTGGGGTTCGCATCGGTTGATTTTTCAAGGTGTCGTTCCTTAGCCATCCATCCACCGGATTGGTTGCCCGGCAACGTCGGGTGCTCGAAAACAATCCCGATTTCTCCTTTGTGCGGCTTGCATACGTTTGTTTTCACACGGAACCAGCAGTTGTTCATCATTCCCTGTTACAAGAAAATCATTAAAACCATTAGTGAAACTTGCATTGATTTTCCCCTTAAGCGAATACAATTCACGGTAATAAAAAAAGGAAACCGCACCATGACATTCCAAATGAGCTTCTCGGGCTGAGTGTTGAGCGTCTCATCCCAGGCTCGAACCGCAATTTCCTTGGTTCCGAGCAGATCAAGAACCTCGACCTCCAGGGACCAGAAGCACCAGCACCAGAATTTCCCATATTTGTTTGGTTTCTCAGTGTGGTCCAGTGTACATACTTGCCATGTTTTTCCACCATCCATAGTAACCTCCACACGTGTCACCTTCTTCCCACCCCCTGTTGTCAATTCATACAAAATCAAATAAGTAAATTAAAGCTTAATTAATTATAAATACAAATTAAGTAGCTTCATTTTCCACGATTCTTCCCAAAACCGGGGGGTGGGGTGGGAAGCCTAATTCCATTGCCCAGTTACCCAGTATTGTATTCCCCGACACACAAGTTTCGATCAAACTTTATGCCAAAATTGCTTTTTACCTCTTTTTGGAGGTCTTGTGATGCCTTATTTACGGGGGTTATTAAGATTTGAGCAGCACTTTTCCCTAAATGATAAGGAAGAAATATCCCAAACTAAAACCCTATTTTGATTATATTCCAAACATTGTAACTCGAGCCTAAGGACAAAAGGCTTTGTATTTTAGACTAACTCCAATTATTCAAGTCTTTCTTACACTAAAATCTGTGAGGCTCACAATCGATAGGAGAATTCTTTAAAAAGCATGGAAAAGGAACTCACCGGAATATGTGTAGCCCCTCAAAGTATATGGCCTTTGAGTGGTCCACGAGTTGATTGGCAGGATCTCTGCATGGCAAGGTGTCGTTATCACTGAGTTGATGTTTAGCTCATTGATGATGTATTCCGGCTTATACCACCAAGCTTCAAACATTACATCACAATATTTCAATATCAACGTCAGCATTAATTCTCCATGCACAAAGTAATCATAATTTCTACAATGAAAAATGGACAAATTGTTTACCTTCTTCGTTGGCTAGCTCTGCATCAACGTGCGAAGGAAGTACTCTGTTATCTTTATAATGATAATAATTCTCAGATTCTTGGGTGGTGACGATGATTCTCTTCAACCATTTCACCATTCGTCCACCGATGAACCCGGGGATGATCATCCGTACCGGGAATCCGTGATCGGGAGTCAAAGGCTTCCCGTTTTGCATGTAAGCTAAGATAATATCACGAGAAGGGTCCATGGTGAACTCCTTCTTGATGCTAGTTCCGTACTTGGAACCACCGCCTCCCGGTAAATCCTCGGCACCTTCGAAGCACACATTCAGGGCGCTGTGTTTCTTGCTAAAGACCCCACATCTTTTGAGCACGTCACGCAATGGTACACCCCTCCACACCGAAGTGGAAATCCCGGCAGCTCCCCAATTGAAACCTATAGTTTGTTTCACCATGTTTTGTTCTTTACGTCTGTTACCGGCACAAACCAGGGTCACGGGAAACTCACGGGTCTGGAACTCGTTAACGAGTTGGTCCATCGTCAACTTCATCGGTTTTTTAACTAAGCCGGTGATTTCAATGGTCCAGTCGTCCCATGAACCTTTGGGAACCGAACCGTGGTTACGGACGTAGTGGAGGGGAACGGGGGTGATAAAGCCGTGGTGCATGAGGCGGTTCAAGGGTGGTTCGGAGTTGAAAGGGTGTTTCCCAGTGAGACGGACCATAGAACCGTTACGCTCGATCCAGTTATCGGCCGTGGCTTCATCTCGAGAGTCCAAGACGGAAGGTTCGAGCTCGTTATCGGACTTGAGGATCATGTCTTTGTAGTGGTTGAACTCATTTCCTTCGTCTTCACTGGAAGAGTCATCGTAATCATGATCAACAAAAACATGTTTGACATGGCGGTGGGTCTGGGCAATTGGACCGGGCTTCAACGGGGTGAAAACACCATTCAAAGCCGTTTCAAGGCGCCTGAATTGTCGATTATCAACGGAAGCCGCCATGATTGAACAATTTCTCGTAAAAGAGAAGTAATAAAGAAGCACTCTCTCTCTCTCTTCCCCCCACCTTTTCTTTCTCTCTCCCGGTTTTTGGGGTTGTGTTTGTCCGAAAGAGATTGAAGAAACTGAGGAAGGGACGAAGTGAATATATAGGCTCGAGGAGGGGCTTTCTGGGAAGAAACTTGTCAAAATGAAAATGGTCCCTCAACGATTGTATTACAATTTATATATTAATATTAAAATCATACACCACTATGTGGTTCTAATTTGTTTAATTTTTTAAAAATAGCATAAAAAATTAAACTAAAATATTTACCAATTTAATTATTTTATAATATTTAAAAAAATATTATACTAATTATTGTCAATTAATTTATGTGTTTGTAAAATTAGAAAGCGAGAATATACGTCGAAATAGTTTTGCGGTACATGTAATAATATAAAATTATATTATTTAAATTATTTACGTTTATGTGTAAAAAATTTATTATGTTATATTTTTGTTCATATATTATTTGAAATGACCATCCAGCTCAGTTGGTAGAGCACAAGGTTCTTAACCTTGAGGTCGTGGGATCGAGTCCCACGGAGGGTATTTCATAATTCGGAGGTCTCTTACGGAAGCTGCTCTCAACCTGGTGTTGGGGGTAGCCTACTATCTTACCTCCCCTTACCCCATACATATGGAAAAAAGGGACATCCATTTTTTTTGTTCATATATTATTTATTTAATCAGCATTGTTTCAGTTTTTTTGCAGATATAATATTGTCGCACTTTTAAACTCAATGAATGACGCGACTTTCAGCTATTGTTTATTATGATGGTGAAATTTGAGAAAATGAAATCGGCGTTGTTTTCATATCAAATGAGCGTATTAAAATATCATTGAAGAGAAACATAACTCTTGAGGAGCTAATAACGAAGATTTCGAGGAAGATTCATGTTGGAAGTAGTAGAAGAATGTCGTCGTTGCAGTACAGATTTCCAACATCATTGTTGCCATTAACTTATACAGCGTTCAAACTTTTGAACAATGATGATGTTGAAATGATGGTTGAAGCTCAAAGTAATTATTCAGACGCCGATATTGAGATGTATGCAAATTTTATTCAATTGCGTGCCGTTCGGGGTCAATCATTAAGCTCCCACTATGGGCTGGCTGAACAAGTTGATCAAGTTGACATCTCGATGACAGTAATGTGTAATGATTTTAATGCCATAATGGGGAGACATTCATCCGAAACTCCTTACGATATGTACCGAGGTGGGTCGACGAACAATTCGTATGGCAACATCGCGTCCAATTCAAGGGGAAGTCATTCATCTGCAAATCCGTTTGACCTTAATATGAAGATGCCATCGACGCAACCATCTGTGCAGTTTCCATTTGACACGATGGCTTCAAGCTCTAGGGGGAGGCATTCGACTGTGAGATTTTTCGATCTGAATGTCGATATGTATTCCAGTTCAAGGGAAATGCGTGCAAGTAGTAGGTTCTTCGACCTAAATGTGGAGAGCATGGAGGAACCATCATCTCCACCAGAAGAACCGCTTCGTGAGCCTGGTGCGGATGGTGCTGAGACTGGACTATTCATTCTCCCAGAATCACCGTAATTCAACTCCGATGATGATGATGATGTGGATGAAGTTCCAGCAAATGTGACACAAACTGACCCTCCAGCACACATGTATGAAGCTGGTTATGGTGCAATGTATGGGCCAGAATTTGCGAATATGCCTCATCTCGGTGACTATAGATATTACAATATCCTCTCCATGACAGAAAAATATGTATGCTACTATGCCCGACGTAAAAAACGGATGTAATTGGATGGTTCGTGTATCGAAAAGGAAGAGGAAAAACAACAGATGGGAACTAACAGTATATAACGGTCCTCACATATGTTGTGTTGGAGGAGTCAACCAAGATCATCCCAACTTGGACTCTGAGTGATATGCCAAGCCAGCATGCCCATGTTAAAAGCAAGCTCTCATATAGCCGTTGTTGTGTTGATTTCAGCTATACAATCGCAGTATGGGTACATTGTCTCCTATAAAAAAGCTTGGTTGGCAAAACAAAATGACATTGTCAAACTTCATGGCGAATGAGATGCATCTTACAAAGAACTTCCAGGCTGGTTTAGACTGGTGCGGAGGTTGAATCCTGGGATAATTGTTGACTTCGAAACCTCCTATGCATACCATAATGATCGAGTTCTCCACGATCGATGCCAATTCTACCGGGTTTTTTGGACTTAACCACATTGCGTTAATGTTGTCAAATACTGCAAGCTTGTGGTCCAGATCGACGAGACTTTCTTGTATGGAAAATACAAGCAAGTTTTATTATTGGCAGTTGTCCAAGATGACAACCACAGCATTCTTCCAGTTGCTTTTGCTCTTGTTGAATGAGAAGATACAAATTCTTGGGCTTTTTTCCTCCGAAATTTACTTGCACGTGTTATCACGAGGGAAAACATCTGTGTCATTTCAGATCGCGGAGCTGGGATCAAAGCAGCAATGGAGTCTTTGGGTCCAATGTGGCAACCACCCTTTGTCCAACATAAGTATTGTCTCCGACACATTGCTGTGAACTACCATGGAAGGTACAAGAAGAATGATGAGTGTCAATTAATTGTGTGTATGGGTAAGTGAAACTGATGTAGTTTGTTTTCTTTCGATCGTTTTAATTTTGCAAAGAAAGCAAGTTAGTAAGTTATACATTTTTTGATCAGGTTACGAACTACTTCCTCTAACGTTTGAATCAATGCTTTAAGATTTGTAGGCGAAGAACGAGGAAGGATATGATTACATCAGCCTCATCGATAAAGAAATATAGACAAATGCATATGATGGTGGATATCGATATGGACACATGACGACCAACTTGGCAGAGGTAATCAATTCAACTTTAAAGGGTGTACGTCACTTACCAGTAGCGGCTTTGGTAAAGACTACATATTTTTGTTTGGGGGCGCTTTTTGCGAAGCTCGAGGGACAAGCTCAAACCTGGATGCAAGACGGTTATGTCTATCACCCTATATTAGTTACAAATCTACAGAAAAAAATCTCTGCATCAAATGGAATGTCTGTAATAAGCTTCTCTAAAAAGCATGGAATGTTTCGTGTCACAGAGTTGCCGCGACCTCTTCAAGGGATTGAAGTTGTGTCGTTAAGAGTAAATCTAAGGGATAGAACATGCGACTGCGGGTTTTTTCAAGCTCTTAAGTATCCATGCTCTCATGTGATAGCAGCTTGCTCGCATACACGTCAAGACTATAACCATTTTATGGATCCTGTATACCTATTGTCTGAAGTTTTTAAGGTATACGAATTTGAGTTTCCCCCCATAGGTAATGACAAAGACCTTGATGAGTTTCAAGATTGGCTTCCGATTGTACCAAATCCAAGTTTATTGAGGGAGCGTGGTCTTCCAAAATCCAATCGAATTCATTGCGATATGGATATTTGAGAAAGATCTAGACAAGACAGAAGATGTGGGCATTATAGAAACCCAGGACACACTAGAAAAACATGTCCACTTCTGTTGCCATCAAGTAACAATTGATGAGGAAATGATGTATTTGTTTATCAAATAATAATTCTTGTACTTTAATTTGAATTTACTTCAAGTTAATGTCATTCGATAATCGCTGATGAAGATTAAAAAACGATATAATACGAGATTGGACGTTGCGTTATATGTGATTATAATAAAGAGATAATAAGTGACAAACTTAAGAAAGTTATCAAATTACAATAACTGATATTAAATGGTAATAAAAAATTAACTGAAATACATTAAAAAAGTCAAACAAATTTAACAAATAAAGTAAGTATTAAATGAGAATAATAAAAAATTACAATTAAAAAGTCCAATAAACTAAATTAAAATATAATAAAAAATAAAATCTATCGATGTCTGCGACGCGAATGTGTTCCGCAGGGCGGTGGTTGTCGGTCTCGAGGAGGATTTCTTCGTATCACTGGTTGTGACTCCTCGCTGTCATCATCATCACCATCGTCGTCGTAGTCGTCGTCTTCGTCTTGAGTAACTACATTTTGTTGATGTGGAGCTGATGACGATGAAGCACCTCCATAGAATAAGGACCCTGGAGGTGTATGACTGACTATCCCACTGGCCTGCGAAAACTGGGAAAACTCATAAAACCCAGACATCGCTGAGTGTGAAAACTGTACAGGAGGTGTCTGTGTTGCGGCCATGGGTGATGAGGTTGAACCCGCCAAATATCTAGTATATGAACCCTAAGTCAGATCTACAAACATAGACCTATAATAGCCTCCAGGAGGGAATATCTGTGACGGTGGTGGTCATAAAAGCAGGTGAAGGCGACGGCAACGGCATCTGGTAATGGAAAGGCAGTGGCGGTATCATATATGGTTGCAGTATATAAGCTGGTGGATACGGTGGCTGCTATGAAGGTCCTGTTGGTGCAGCTGAGGATGAATCGGAAGCACCTGCTTTCCGTCCACGAGTTGGGCGACGATGGTGCTTTGTCGGTGAACGTCTCTGTCGACGTCGTAGAAAGGTCTGCCCTCGTGCATCCTCGGGAAGCAGAAACGGTTTCCCGTTACTGTTAAACCACTCGTAATAACCGTCAGCAACCATCAAGAGGTCAAGTAAAATGGGCTCTCTACGGGGAAGGCGCCGATGTCGATCCTCCCACAACACGACCCACGCATGATGCCTCACCAGCCAATCTGTATCTATCTTGCCGCGTCTATATGTGCTATGAAACTCGCCCATATTGCGAGGTACTTCCGAAATTGGTTGAAAACAACCAAATTGTCGGAGCACGCGATCAACCGAGTGCCACTCGACGGTCGCATAACATATCAAACGGACTATCGCCATCCAAACATCTGATGGGCCCCTCAACTCAGGTGGGATCATCGCCCTCACATCATCAGTAGAATATGTCACCCATTCAAACTAAAACAAATATATATATAATTTTCATCAATATAATAATCTAATTATATAACTATAATCTAAAATCGATTTTTAAACATTAAAATTC